TTTTTTATTAGTAAAACTATTTTCTGGGAGGGGGGAAATCTCAACTCCAACTCAGAACTCCAACGGCTGTACGGACCCTGATCGAACTGTGGTACTGCAATGCATCTACTCTTTTTTTCTCCTCTCCTGCTGTGCTGCCTTTCTCGCCCTGTGCTTGAGCTCTGCTTTCTTCCACTTGACCATCAGCTCAACTGTACTGATCATTAGTTGCACCTGCAAATGCACATACAGAAGTTTGCATGTGCACATACAAAGCGCGGCATCAGAGTGGGAGGTAGGACGGAAGGAGGAGAAGGGTTGAAGTCTCTTTTTTTTCTGCCTCACAATGATTTAACTGTACCAATCATTAATTGCAACTGCACATGGTAATACAAGGAGAGTGCGGCATGGGCTGTGATGGGAGGAAGAGCAGGTCAAGTCAAGATCTGATTTCTTCCACTTCACCATCAATTCAACCATACGGATTATCAATTGCAACTGCGCATGGTAGATATAGAAGAGCGAGAAATGGGAGGGGTATGACGGGAGGAAGAGCATACCAGAACAACTATCCCAACGACTAGCATTAGGCCTGAGATTGTGTGGGTCAACAACCTGACAACAAGCTGTGCCCAGAATTTTGTATCTTCTCACCAGAATGACAATCCCGATGACGAGTATGGGGCCTGAGAGGAGCTGTATTGGGGGGTCAAAACCTGACAACGACCTGTGTTACCAGCACTTGGCATTTTATTTTCTCACCAGAATGACAATCCCGATGACGAGTATGGGGCCTGAGAGGAGCTGTATTGGGGGGTCAAAACCTGACAACGACCTGTGTTACCAGCACTTGGCATTTTATTTTCTCACCAGAATGACAATCCCGATGACGAGTATGGGACCAGAGAAGAGCACCGAAACGAAGAGCCCGTATTGGTCAAAGTAGTTTTGGCGGGAAAATAGCTTCCAGTGATGTGCCGCATACGCGTTTATGTGCTCTGCTAGATACACCAGTACGGCTGAGCGATTGTGAAAGGGGGGGGGGGGGGGGGGGGGGAAGGCGGACAAAGGCGTGGAAAGGGGGAGCAATAGTGGATAAAAAGCATGGTGGGGGTGCAAGTACAAGCCCGCATACGCGTTTATATGTGCTCCGCTAGATACACCTGCATGGCTGCATGGTTGTGGAAGGGGCGGGGGGAAACGAGGCAGTAAGGCAGGGAAAGGGGGAGAAAGCAGGGGTAAAAGGGGGAGGAGGAAGCACAGGGTAGCGTATGCATTTCGGTGCTTTGCTAGATACACACACCAGTATGGCTGCACGGTTGGTTGGATGGGGAAGAGAATGGGAGGGGGCCGGCAAGGGGGAAACGATCAATCAACGCGAGGGCAGCGTATGCTTTTCTGTGCTCCGCTGGATACACCCGTATGGCTGCGTGATTGGATGGGCAGCTCCGCTGGATACACCCGTATGGCTGCATGGTTTCATGGAAGGGGTTGGGGGGAACAGCAGAGGGGAGAAGGAGAGACGGGAGAGGAGGGTTTGGGGGGGAGCTGGAGGGGAAAAAAAGTGCAGATTGCGTTTTAGTCACATCAATATGGCTGAAATATCGTATGAGAGGGAGAGAGGAGGGGAAAGGGAAGGGGTGAAGGGGGAGGTGGGAGCGAGAAGGGTCGGAGGGGCCGCCAGAAATTTAGATGCAAAGCGTTGTAAGCGTTTATGTGCGGACCCAAAATCTTTGCGCTAAGAATTTTAAAACTTCGTTTCAAGCATGCTACCAAACATGTATGTGCGCAATGACGAGTAGCACGCGGGAGGAGTTACAAGAAGAGACAGGGGCGGAGAATGCAGTTATAAGCCCAGCCAAGTACCAGAATGCCTGCTGGGATTGCAGATATGTGTATTTGGGCGGGTTTAGGTCGGGTTTACTTGAATACCATAATTTCTAACCTTAAACCCCGTACCCTGAACCTTGCAGATTTGTGGGTTGGGTGGGTCGCAATGGGTGGGTTAGGACGGGTGCAGATGGTTGGGTTGGTAGCTTGCAAATGGGTAGATTGGGTGGGTTGCAGATGGGTGGGTTGGAGGAGGCCGGAGGAAAGGAGGGAGGGAGAAGAATTAGGGTGGATTAAGGTGTAGAAGAGCTAAGTCAAACAGAACCGCGACCACAAGCCGGTTTAAATGGGTTTCAGACGGTGCAAACATGGAAAAGTGATAGCGTTGATAAACAGTATGATGTAATCACTCTCAATCAATCTTCGACACTCCTTAACGCACTCACTGCAAACACGGCGAATGGTGAGAGGTGAAAGTTCTGTTCTGACATTGCCGAGTGTGTGACGGGGACAATCAGATGGAGGGATCCGTGCTCTCAAACGAAACGTGGACTCCTGCAAAAGGCACGTGCATTCACCTGACACATGCACTCACCTGACACGTGCACTCACCTGACGCGTGCACTCACCTGGTCACGTGGACGTGCACTCACCTGACACGTGCACTCACCTGACACGTGCACTCAACTGGCCACGCCGTGCACTCATAAGGCTACGTGCAATTACCACGTGCACTCACCACAGAAGGTGAAGACGAAGAATTGAAAGTTCTGCCATCGGCGAGTGAGGAGCACCATGAGAAGCAACGCGGCGTGGAACGAAAGCAGCCCGATTATCCATGGCTCCTGCGATTCGTCAACCCGAACCGCGCGAACGGCGGAAAGATCGGAAGGACGGCCGTGAGAATTCTACGAGACAGATCGCGTAGACAAGAACGGTGAACCCTGCATGCATGCTACGCGTGATTGATGATTCCAGCCAGCTGATCCACTTAACGATGTGACAATATCCAGGTGTAGAAGAAGGTCTCACCGTCCAATCAACGGCGTGGATGAACGCCTGGATCTGGTCGGTGATCGGAGGGCCGTCGGCAACCTCTTTCCATTTGGACTTGAGCGCATCTGAGAAACTCTGAATTAAATTCTCGAATTCGTCCATCTCAACAGACTCAACCCTAACGGGTGTTCGCGTGTGAGGACCAGAGGCAGGAACGGGGGGAGACTAAGAGTGTGCGCGTGAGAGAGGAACCGGTTGTCACGGTTCTGTCGATTGGGTTGTCAGAGCATCAGTACGTGGATGAACAGATCGTTAGTTGGTCTAGACTAAAGGAGAATCCGTCAATGATTGTGTGAATTCGCAATACGCGTCACAGCGAGATCGATCTTCTGTTCGTGGAATATCGACAGCGCAAAACCTGACATTCAAAGCTATGAACAATACTAGCTGGAATGCTAACTGCGGAACAATAATACCCTTGAAGCTATGATGATTTCCTTGGGATCCAGCCTACGAGAGCAGAGGGAAATGTGAAATTTCGAGTGTAAGGAGAGTAGTTTCAGCAGCGAATGACCTACTATCGAACCATCTGACAGGCGAAGGTTCGGGCAGGTTCGTAGCCGAAACGGAAGGGCAGGTGTTCTCCTTCCACCCACTTCCAAAACACTTGTCAGAGTTTCGAGGCGTGTTCCAAATTCCTGGGATCGGTCCCAAAGCGAGCCTCGACTTCCTGCTGGATGTTACAAATATTTATATAACTCATGATGTTGTGTAACGTTTCTTGAAAATCTCACTCGGACCTCTCCCAGCCTTTCCATGAAACCTGTTGTAGACACGCCCTGAGGTTGAGTCTTTTAGTGGTATGTGATGAGACCTGTGTGCTTCCATCATCCACAATCGCGTCCTATATTCTAGAACCTGACGCTACCTTGTTAGGACACGATTTACGCGAGGCCGTTTATATCCAATTCTTATCATCCAGATGCCTTGCTAATTTACTTGTTCCCCAAGAGCCGCAATCATGGTACGGTCGTGTCTGACGAAGAATCGTTTTGCTCGCGCTGAGTTCGGTCATTTCAGGCTCAATTGAAAGCTGTTACATCCCATCCTGTCTCGCTTGTTCTCGTCGCTGCAGGTTTGCGTTTTCTGTCTTCTTCCTCTCTTCCTACTGCCTCTAGTCAACATCCTCCCTCTTTTGTGGGACAAACTACTCGTAAGTCGCCTCTGCTTACAATCACCGAACTTCTCCCAGACAGCTCCTTGATTTCCCCCTGGTTGGTACAGTGCTCCTTCTTTATATCAGCTCTCGACATCGTTGTACGTCAATCTTTACGGAATTCTTTAGATTAGACGCACTGTACCTCTCCGGATCCGTCCCTTTATCGCCACCGTGTCGTCCTCGTGATACTGTCGCGCCAGGTGCGGTTCTTCCGTCTGATTGGCCGAGAGTACAATCCGCCACTTCGGGACGGTCCCTCTTGTCCGTACAAGCCAGGAGCGAGAAAACCGCTACCAGTAAGAACGCATTTTTTCATGGCTCTGTTGATTACCTCCATTTGTTAGTCCGCCCCCTTCGTATTCTCTCTTTCCGTCCCCTCCCCTTCCCTCTTCCCAATCCCCCGCTCCTTCCCCATCCCGCCTCTCCTCGCGCAAGAGCCTTTTTAAACACGTCCCGCCTTCCTAGCATCTAGTTTTTTTCGTTTGTTTTTAGATAACCAACCCCTTCCTTCTTTGTCTATCCATCCTATCCCTGCTGTTGCACGTATCGCATCTTTATTCCTCCTCTTGCAGTTGTTCTTTTCCTAGCAATCTAGTTATTCTTCACGCACCCTTGTATCGACTCCTTCCTTGCAGGAGGCTGAGCCCATGTTGGCAAACGGTGAAGGAAGTACATTGAATGGGTCCGCTGAGTCAAAGAAAGACTCTTGACAAAGCTGGTTCCTATCACCCACGTTTACTTTCTTTGTATAAATTGTGTCATTATTATTCTTACGTATGAAGGGCTGTTGCTGCTATGCTCTCGGGAACTAGTTAACATGCGCCCTAGAGTTTGTATGTAACATGCGTCAGTTACAATGGATAAGCCTATTGCTTCACCATCACACAAACGAGAGCAGAAACGAAGAAGCACCAGTTCACATGGCTACATACCTACATCCAATTTGCCTGGGCTGGTACAGATTGAGGCAGTTTACCTAGATTTCCTGATCAAAATTGTCGATCGCCAGCCTCTTTTTGTCAGATGGAAGAGGAAGATTGAGCAGGACACGACAGAAGAACTCATGCTCCATCTCCAGTGCTGCCTTGATGTTGTCCGCCTGCCATGTTACCGCGTAACACATAGGGACATGGTGAGTGTATGCACAAGATGACAATGAAGCTGATTCAGCGGACATGACAGAAGAACTCGTGCTCCATCTCCAGTGCTGCCTTGATGTTGTCCGTCTGCCAGGTTACCACGTAACCACATAGGACATGGTGAGTATGTGCAAAAGGTCACAATGAAATATGACTCAGCAAAACACGGCAGAAGAAACTGTGCTGCATCTCCAGTGCAGCGTGGATGTTCTCTGCCATCCATGTTACCATGTAACCATGAAAATTGATATGATGGTGACACCATACTCACATTTCTGAAGCCGTGGTCTTCATCTGGGAACTCAACGATAGCCACAGGTAGGCCCTTGGCCTTCACTGCAGCGTGCATGGCCTACGCTGCACTCGCATTAAAGCCACAATTCCTGACGCAGTCACTGTACTCACAGGGCTTCACCATGCTCACATTTCTGAAGTCGTGGTCTTCATCAGGGAACTCAACAATAGGCACTGGCAGCCCCTTTGGCTTCCACAGCTGCGTTTGGCCTACGTTGCACTCGCATTACAATCACAATTCCTCATGCAGTCACTGTACTCACATGGCTTCACCATGCTCACACAGATTCACGCTTCACCATACTCACATTTCTGAAGCCGTGACCTTCATCTGGAAACTGCACAATTGCCACCGGCAGGCCCTTGGCCTTCACTGCTGCGTGCATGGCCTGAGTCACAGTCCCGTTACTGTACTTGCATGGCTTCATGCTTCAGAATACTCACATTTCTGAAGCCGTGGTCTTCATCTGGAAACTCAACAATAGCCACTGGCAGGCCCTTGGCCTTCACTGCAGCGTGCATGGCCCGGGCCTGGTCAGGACTCACAACCTTGTGAGGAGAAGGGAGAAGGGGCAGGATGCGAAGGCAAAAAATGGAAGAGACGGGGCATTTAGATAAGCAGAACCTTGACCTTTTCTGCAGCGTGCCATGCACTGCACTGGCCTGGCCGGGGCTCACAATTTGGCAAGGCAGGGAGGGGGATGAGGATGCACGGAACAAGAGGGATGGGAGAACAGGAAATGGAGTTGAGGCAACAAGACGGACTGACCTTGGCCTTCACACTCTTAGTTTACCAAGACTTTTTGTTTGTACTTTTTTCGTCTGCTTCTTTCCTTTGGCTTTTCTTGGAGCAACCTATGGAAAAATGTATATGCTTCTGATAATGAAAAAACTGCTTGGCTTAGCTTGGCCATGGGTCTGACTGTAACTTGAAACCTAAACCTCAAACTTCATCTTAAATACAACCTGGACACGTTGGATATTCTCACAGTTCTCACTGTACCTGGTCTTTAAGCCCAGTTGACTTTTGAGTCGACTCAAAAGTCATCTCACCGTTCTCACTGTACCTGGTCTTTAAGTCCCTGCAGCATCAGCAAGGGGCATGCAAGCTTGTCGACGTGGTTAATCGGAGAACGGCCCCTGTACAGCTGCTTCCCCTTGGGAGTGTTGTATGGTGCTGGGGGGGTGGAAGAAATAGGGGAGAGAAGCAGACGACATTCAACTTTTGAGACATACTTACCCTTCCATAATTAATAGAGCATTTGCAAAAGGGTATTTTTGAGAAGAAGAAGAAAAAAACCCTGTATTCATGAATGATCGCCGAGGAATTGAAGACATGAGCGTCCACGTGGTACATTTGGTTTTCGCCCATATAACATCAATCTGATCTAGCCTTTTTCATGTCATAACGACAACTAAGGCAATAGATTGAAGATCATATGCTGCAAGAAAAAAATTATTTTAGTACATTGCCAGGAGATGCACGGAAAAAAGGTGAGTTAGGATCTCAAGGAAAGAAATAACTCACCAACAAGTGTATCGGTGTAGTGCATTTCAAACTTGTGCATCATCTGAGCCAGAGCCTCAAGATCTCCAATCTGACCAACAGAAGGGAGCAGGCAGAAAATTTTCTTTGAGTCAACTCAAAGTCACCTCGCTTAACAAACTTATGCATCATTTGAACCAGAGCCTCGAGATCCCCAAGATGCTCAACAGCTGGGAGCAAACAGGAATTGTTTTTCCATTCAACCCCATAAGCATGCAACCGTCAACCAAGCAGAACCGACCATTCGACAACACCACACCTTACCCCATACAAGGAGCCTCCGGGTTTGAGCGTAGAGCAAAGGAGAGAGCTGAAAGCGTGATGGTGAAGCGTCACCAGCATGGAGAGTGAGAGTTACCTGATGCGAACACGCCTTACCCCGTACAGGGAGCAGCCAGCTTTGAAGGTAGAGGCACATTTGTGAATTCTCAAGAGCGGAAGGTGAGAGCAGAGAGGGTGGTGAAGCATCACCAGCACGGTGAGTGAGATTTACCTGATGCAAACATGCCTTACCCCGTACAGGGAGCAGCCAGCTTTAGAAGGTGGATTGGAATGTGAGAGCCGAGAGGGTGGTGAAGCTGAAGATGAGAGCTGGGACGGACCCAACTGCACCACCTGTCACCAGCATGGTGTGCGAGAGTTACCTGATGCGAACACGCCTTACCCCGTACAGGGAGCAGCCAGCTTTAGAAGGTGGATTGGAATGTGAGAGCAGAGAGGGTGGTGAAGCTGAAGATGAGAGCTGGGACGGACCCAATTGCACCCAAGTCGTACCAGCATGGTGAGAGCGAGTTACCTGATGTGAACATGCCTTACCCCGTATAGGGAGCAGCCAGCCTTGAAGGTAGAGCGGAATGTGAGAGCCGAGAGAGTGGTGAAGCCGCCTGCTGACGACCCGTCAATGGCCACCCTTTTACCATCCACTAGCCCTGCACGCACCTGGGGAGAGAATGGAGAGGGGAGGAAGGGAGGGCGTTTGCTTCTGAGTCGACTCAAAAGTTAATGGCCACCTTTTGAGAATTCTCATAAGTTAATGGCCACCTTTTGAGAATTCTCATAAGTTAATGGCCACCTTTTGAGAATTCTCATAAGTTAATGGCCACCTTTTGAGAATTCTCATAAGTTAATGGCCACCTTTTGAGAATTCTCATAAGTTAATGGCCACCTTGGTGCCATAAACGCCCTCACTTAAAGTTGATGGCTCATAAGGTGAGGGAATTCTCATAAGTTAATGGCTCATAAACGCCCTCACTTAAAGTTGTGCCATAAACCAGCCTTGCACGCACCTAGGGGGAAGAGTGGGGGGGGGAAGGGGGTGGTAGGCAGAGAGCAGGGCGCGGTGGGTTGGTAGGGCGCGGTGGGTTGGTAGGGTGGAATGAGTTAGCAACCCTTGTGCTGATGACCGTCTACAGCCACCCTGCTGCCGTCCACCACCCTGCACGCACCTGGGGAGAAGGGAAGGGGTAAGGGGGGGCTAGGCAGATAAATGGTTGCAGCGGGCTGGAAGGGTGAAGAGAGTGAGGAGCCGTTGTCCTGATGTCCTGCCAATGGCCACTTTAGTGCGGTCTACCAGCCCTGCACGCACCTGGGATAAGAGGCGGGGAAGGGTAGGAAGATAACAGGGTGAGGGGTCGGCTCGGAGTAGGGTGTGATGTGCAGTAGGCAGGGTGAAATGGGAGGGCAACCTTTCTGCTGTCGACTCGTTTATGGCCTTCTTAGTGCCGTCTACCAGCCCTGCATGCATCTGGGGGAAGAGGGTGGGCCTGTGAGGAGTGGAGTGAGTAGGCAGAGACGACAGCATGTGGAACAAAAGTAATTCAGAGTCGTTTGCATGAAAGCTTGCTAGATAGTTGCGTTTCCGTTTGTTTGATTTGTTTGTATTGTCAAGATTGTTGTCTCTATTGAAGGCTGCAGATACGGTGCTAACAGCTCATGAATCAGATGCCGTGAAGCGCTGTGAGTGGTAGCAAATAAGAACAGTTATCATCAAAAGGAAGTGGTTACCGGTTACCCGCTACTCAAAGCAGACATATTTCTTTGGCGCCTTAGAAGTGATCACACAGATGAAGTGATTACCAGATACTCGACACAGCTGCATGCATCGTCCACGTCCACCACTCCCCACTGCCCATGTAGCCGCTCCCTGTACTCACGGCCGTACCCTGGTGTATAGGGCATGGCATGGAATAGTTCGGGATGACATGAGATGGCATGGCATGGTATGGCATGGCATGGCATGGTATGGTATGGCATGGCATGGTATGGTATCGCATGGATGGGATGGCATGCGATATCATCGTCAATGCCTACCACTCCTCCTCACTGCCTATGCAGCCGTCCCTGTACTCTCGGCTGTACCCTGGTGTGCGGTGTGGGATGGGATGGTGTGACATGTAAGGGCACGGCAAGGCAGGGCATGGCAGGGACCAGTGCAAAGTCCCTTGACGGGCAGAACTGCATGTGACATAGCAGCGCCATATCACAACCCAGCATGGCATGGCCTAGGCATTGCCACCAGCACCAGCACCATCACACGAGCACTTTCCCCGTCTTATGAGGGAAAAGGGCATGTGCTGTGCAGAGAGGATGGGAGTGTGATGCGCTTTAAGCCTGACTAAGTTTGCAGCTCGCTGAGAATTATGTCACAAGACCAGTTGCCTCTATCCGACTCACCGGTGCTGCCACCATGCGAGTGATTTTTGAGAATTCTCAAAAATCACTCGAATTATGTCACAAGGCCAATTGCCTCTATCCGAATCACCGGTGCTGCCACCATAGTTAACATCCACAAAAGCAAAGTTGAGTCGAGACATTCTGTGGGCCGCCGTGGCACTTCACCAGCAGAGGGGGCAGCGCCCCTTCCGGCCCTTGGATGGACTTCAGTGTCGACTAGAAAAGGAGGGATTAGGGCGTGTACTGTACAATGGGGTGCAGAGTGTGGTTTGTTGTCCTGCTCACGCATCCCACTCACCATAATTGACATCAACGACAGCAAAGCCTCGGGACGTCCAGAACTGCAGCGGCAGGAGCAGGGCGGAGTCGAGGCACCCCGTGGGCCCCCCGTGGCACTTCACCAGCAGCGGAGGGAGTGAGCGCTCCTTGTGGCGAAAGAAGAGAGGGGAGAGGGGAGAGGGGAGAGGAGAGAGGAGAGAGGGGAGAGGAGAGAGGAGAAAGGGCTTCGTGGGTGCTTCTGGCATGGCGGCATCTGCTCCTCTCACTCCCATGCTAAGCCAACGCCATTCCCACATATATGGGTTACCATGTAACATAACTTGCACTCTCATCTCATGTTTGGTACCTTGTGGCGACCAGAGTGGATCCATGGGTGCTACTGGCATGGCAGCAGCATCTGCACCTGCTGCTGCCCATACATGCACCACATAACAATGCTGGTAACGCACACATATGCTGGTTACCACATAACAATGCTCTCTCTCGCTCGTTACCTTGTGGCGACCAGAGGGGCTCCATGGGTGCTTCGATTATGGCGGCATCTGCGCCTGCTGCACACTGCACCGACGTGAGGAGACTGTAATGGACAGGTGGGGAAAGGGAAGAGAAGAGAGGGATAGATGGGGAGAGAGGGGTCAAAGGGTGATTGATGTCTGTACTCGCTCGGATCTAATACACGGACCGCTTGAGGGGTCAAAGGGTGATTGATGTCTGTACTCGCTCGGATCTAATACACGGACCGCTTGAGGGGTCAAAGGGTGATTGATGTCTGTACTCCCTCGGATCTAATACACGGACCGCTTGAGGGGTCAAAGGGTGATTGATGTCTGTACTCGCTCGGATCTAATACACGGACCGCTTGAGGGGTCAAAGGGTGATTGATGTCTGTACTCGCTCGGATCTAATACACGGACCGCTTGAGGGGTCAAAGGGTGATTGATGTCTGTACTCGCTCGGATCTAATACACGGACCGCTTGAGGGGTCAAAGGGTGATTGATGTCTGTACTCGCTCGGATCTAATACACGGACCGCTTGAGGGGTCAAAGGGTGATTGATGTCTGTACTCGCTCGGATCTAATACACGGACTGCTTGAGGGGTCAAAGGGTGATTGATGTCTGTACTCGCTCGGATCTAATACACGGACCGCTTGAGGGGTCAAAGGGTGATTGATGTCTGTACTCGCTCGGATCTAATACACGGACCGCTTGAGGGGTCAAAGGGTGATTGATGTCTGTACTCGCTCGGATCTAATACACGGACCGCTTGAGGGGTCAAAGGGTGATTGATGTCTGTACTCGCTCGGATCTAATACACGGACCGCTTGAAGGGTCAAAGGGTGATTGATGTCTGTACTCGCTCGGATCTAATACACGGACCGCTTGAAGGGTCAAAGGGTGATTGATGTCTGTACTCGCTCGGATCTAATACACGGACCGCTTGAGGGGTCAAAGGGTGATTGATGTCTGTACTCGCTCGGATCTAATACACGGACCGCTTGAGGGGTCCAAGGGTGATTGATGTCTGTACTCGCTCGGATCTAATACACGGACCGCTTGAGGGGTCAAAGGGTGATTGATGTCTGTACTCGCTCGGATCTAATACACGGACCGCTTGAGGGGTCAAAGGGTGATTGATGTCTGTACTCGCTCGGATCTAATACACGGACCGCTTGAGGGGTCAAAGGGTGATTGATGTCTGTACTCGCTCGGATCTAATACACGGACCGCTTGAGGGGTCAAAGGGTGATTGATGTCTGTACTCGCTCGGATCTAATAAACGGACCGCTTGAGGGGTCAAAGGGTGATTGATGTCTGTACTCGCTCGGATCTAATACACGGACTGCTTGAGGGGTCAAAGGGTGATTGATGTCTGTACTCGCTCGGATCTAATACATGGACCGCTTGAGGGGTCAAAGGGTGATTGATGTCTGTACTCGCTCGGATCTAATACACGGACCGCTTGAGGGGTCAAAGGGTGATTGATGTCTGTACTCGCTCGGATCTAATACACGGACCGCTTGAGGGGTCAAAGGGTGATTGATGTCTGTACTCGCTCGGATCTAATACACGGACCGCTTGAGGGGTCAAAGGGTGATTGATGTCTGTACTCGCTCGGATCTAATACACGGACCGCTTGAGGGGTCAAAGGGTGATTGATGTCTGTACTCGCTCGGATCTAATACACGGACCGCTTGAGGGGTCCAAGGGTGATTGATTCAAATCCACAAAGGGGACTGGAGTGACCGCGCTGCACTCTGCACTGATGTGAGGAGGCTTGACTTGAGGGGGCAGGTAGGGCTGGAGAAGATGGAGAGATGGAGAGGGATGGGGAGAGAAGGGGGGAGATGAAGAGAGATGGAGAGCGATATACGTTGGGAATGGAGCGTGAGGAATGGCGGAACCATCACACAATGCCCATCATCATCATCATCACATGTCCCAACCATCACCCGACTCCACTCCCACGGCATGTGCAGGTGAGGCATGGGGGAGCGTGGGCTGCCCACGCTCCCCCATGCCTCACCACATGCATACCTATGTGGTGAGGCATGGGTATGCATACCTATGCCATGCCAAAGTCATGCCTAGCCATGACACACACACGCACACAGACACAGAAATACCCATGAGATACCCATGGCACAGAGATACCCACGGCACAGAAATACCCATGAGATACCCATGGCACAGAGATACCCATCATCATCATCATCAAATGCCCCCACCATCACACGGCTCCTCTCCCATGGCATGTGTGGGTGCCTCCATGCGATCCACGCCAGCTGCCTCCCTATCCTTCCCCCCATGCATCACCACACATACAAACCCATGCCAAAGTCATTCATATCACGTCATGACTCCCATCACACATACCCATCATCATCAAACGTCCCGACCATGACTCGACTCCTCTCCCATGGCATGTGCGGGTGGCTCCACTCCATCCACGCCAGCTGTCTGCCATCCGGACTCAGGCGGGGTGAAGCATAGAAGTCAGCTCCAGATGCCAGCACCACGGGTACTGGGAGGGGAAAGAGCAGGAAGGTGGGTGGGGAGAGGCGAGGTGGATGGAATAGAACAGGCATGATGCAGCGTACAAGTCGGCTCCACTCCATCCATGCCAGCTGGCTGCCATCCAGACTCAATCGGGGTGAAGCATAGAAGTCTGCACCAGATGCCAGCACTACAGGGACTGGAAGGGCGGATGGTTTGGGGGGGGAGGGGGGAGAGGGCGGAATGGAATAGGCTCAGGCATGGTGGGGCGTGCAAGTCGGCTCCACTCCATCCACGCCAGCGGCCTGCCATCAGGACTCAGGCGGGACGAGGCGTAGATGTCAGCTCCACTGGGACTGGGAGGGGAAAGAGTCGGTGGATGGGGGAGGGGAGGCGGATGGAACGGAATGGAATGGAGAAAGAGTTGTTGGGTTGGTTCATGCATGGTGAGGTGTACGAGTCAGTTCCACTCCATCCACACAAGCTGCTTGCCATCAGGACTCAGGCGTGTGAAAGCGTAGAAGTCTGCACCAGACGCAAGCACCAGGGGGACTGGGAGGGGACAGGATTGGTGTGTTGGGGGGTGGTGAAAAGGTGAATGAAATAGAAAATGCCCCGGCAAGGTGAGGCGTAGAATTCTGCCCCAGGAGAGGAGTGAGTGAGTGAGTGAGTGAGTGAGGGAGTGAGTGAGTAAGTGAAAGGAGGACCCATGCCACCCATGCTCCCCATGCTCCCCCGTGCTCCCCCATGCTTGTGACCCAACTCAAGAATGAAGTGCAAGCAGGTTAAAAGAACTTACCTTCAGTCCCATCGCTATCCAAAGAGACAGCCACGATCATGTTTCTCGGCTCGCCATGTTCCTCTGTTCCTCCTCTACTGCTGCTGCTGCTGCTGCTGCTGCTGCTGATGCTGATGCTGATGCTGCTGCTCCTGATGCTCGCAAAGTAATAAACTCACCTTCAGTCCCATCGCTATCCAAAGAGACAGCCACGATCATGTTTCTCGGCTCGCCATGTTCCCCATGCTCATCTGTTCCGTCCCCACCGCTGTTGATGTGGCGATGGTCTGCCATTCAGAGCATGGAAAGGGACAAGGAAAAGGCGGGTTATGGAAATGGGCAACGGAGAAAGGACCAGGAACGAAGGAAACTGGACAGTACGAAAAGGTGACTACAAAGAAGCAGCAGGGCAATGGAATGGGTCCAGCATGCAGGAGGCAGTAGGAAAGAGAGCTTTTAACTTTGCCGCTCCCCTTTGGCCTTCCCTCCCCCTCTCGAAAACGCAAAGTGACGTCTCAGCTCTCACCCTCCTGCATGCATATCAAATCTCACCCTCCTGCACGCGTATCAAATCTCACCCTCCTGCACGCATATCAAATCTCACCCTCCTGCACGCATATCAAATCTCACCCTCCTGCACGCATATCAAATCTCACCCTCCTGCACGCATATAACCCGCCGCCTGTGCACGTCCAGCCGGCCGTCAGCAAATCGCAGCACGCCAGGTGGCTCGACGACAGGGGTCAGCGGACGAGGCTGGGGCGCTGTGGGATAGGTTGGGGGGGGGGGGGGGAGAAGGCCGCAGAGGGGAGAATGGAGGTGTGAGTGGATTTGGGTGGAGAGGATGCAAAAGAGGGTGACAGAGAGGCAAGTGGATGATTGGGCATAAACGACCGGGGAGAAATCACTGGGCAAACCTTTCCAACCCGTACTCCCCTTCCGATCTTGGAAGCAAGGAATCAGGATTCAGAATGTGGGTGGAGCACGAGATTTGCAGCATGACATGTTGGCACTATATTCGACGAATCTCGTACCGAGCACCAAGCGGACATGTTGCCCTTGCATCGTTGTAATGCTTATCATGAGCCGCACGAGGTTCATAAAATGTAGTGCCAACAGGCCATGCTGAAAATCTGTTGCTCAACCCACATTCTGTATCCCAATTCCCTGCTGCCAAGATTAAAAAAGGAGTAAGGGTCTGACCCTAGTTGTCGAAGGCGGTTCCTCCCCGTTCGTTATGCCCTCAGTTGCACTGCTGAAGGTGTGGCTGGGCCTGTCCCGTCCACCGAAACTACTTTTCTTCAGTTTTAATCCACTAGTGGAAGTTGGGTTGGATTTCTTTGAATTTCTAGGTTGAAGCAGGATACAACAACAGACTCGTTACCATTAACCTTTTGCTAGAAGTTCTCGTTTAGGCTGCGGCTCGCCTAATCCCATGGCTGAAGGTGGATTTGGGTGGAGAGGATGCGAGAGAGGGTGAGAGAGAGGCAGGTGGCTCGACGACAGGAGTCAGCGGACACGGCTGGGGCGCTGTGTGATGGGTTGGGGAGTGTGAGGAGACCGAATTGGGGAGAAAGGACATGTGAGTAGATTTGGGTGGAGAGGATGCAAGAGAGGGTGACAGAGAGGCAGGTGGCTCGACAGCAGGGGTCAGCGGACGAGGCTCACAGGTGCTGTGCGATTGGGGTGGGTTGGGGAGTGTGAGAGGACTGAACACAGGGGAGGAGGACGGTGGAGGTTAGAGGTTGGGGGACCGGTGATGAAAGAGAAGGTTCAGTGTTGATTCCATGCATCAAGGCGAAATGCATGTTTTTTTTAGTCGACTCAAAAACAGGTTGGAGGACCGGTGATGAAAGAGAAGGTTCAGTGTTGATTGCATGCATCAAAGTGAAATGCATGAGCACATACCAAGAAAGTAAGTACTTACATACATACCATATTCATGGACACACCTTCGGCACAATCTGAGCTGTCGGATGGCATCTCAAGCGCGTAGAGCCGTTGATTGGCTCCATTTGAGAAGATCAGCAGATCGCCCGGCACACTGCTGGTAGCTGCTGACGTGGCATCCGACGTGGAAGCTGACGTGGCAGGAGGAGGGGAAGGGGCGACCAGAAAGGCGCCTCCCCCGTACTCGTGCACGCGGGATCGCACGCTCATGGAGGGAGGCGAGACGTCCAATGGGGCAGTGCCACGTGTCCCCTCTCTCACCACCACCACCCGACTGCAATGGGGAGGAAAGTGGAAGAAGGGGGGAGAGGGGGGAGAGGGGGGAGGTTAAGGTTGGGGAGGGGAAGGGGACGAGAGGGGGGTGGAGCAGCGAGAGTGAGTGAGAGAGGAATTGTTGACCCTGGCATGTCGACCAAGTCTGCACAACAGTCGGCTCAGCCCTCTTTTTAGTCACTTCCACTACTAGGATGTTGATTGCTCACCCCTTCTCTGTCGGTCTGCCCTCTGCCCACACCAGGCGCCCTTCGCTATCCACCACCGCCCCCCCGAAGCGCAGGCTTGCGCTGCTCGCCATATCCGCGCCGATGGGGGACTCCCACGCCCCGAACGGCGCAACTTTCCGCTCCGCCCGCTCCTCAGACACTCCCCCTTCCTCGCCGCCACCGCTTCCGCCAGTCGCCGCGTGCGCCATCTCCGGCTTCCGCGGATCGCTTCCGCGCCGGCTGGCGGAATCAGCAGCTGCGGGGCGGGATAGGCGCGGTGAAGCTCCGCTGATCGCGCGCGAGCCTTGCGCCGCTGGCGCAAAGCGCGGAGTGAAAGCGCTTGCGCGGGAGAGAACGCTGTCGGTTGTAGCGCCGAGTCGAGACTGAATCTGCGAAGGCGGAGCTTCCGCAGCGGGAAAGCGCGCGCGGAAGGTTGAACCAGACGGCGGAGACAGAGGCGCGCGCAAAGGCGAGGTGGGGGAGAAAACGATGGTGGCGGAGCGCGGAAGCGCGGAGACCGTGCGGGAGCGGAGAAACGGAAGGCACGCGAGGGATGCGGCCCGCGCTGATGCGGACATGGCGCGGCGGTCCTGGCAGCTAGCAAAATTTGCGCTAGAAAGAAATCATCCTGTCCTATGCTGTTGTATTGTAATAACCATAGAAGCCCCACCCACAACGAAGAATCTTGTTGTCGTAAGCATTTGTAACCAGGTACTCCCACAGCACCTCGCGAGAGTCGCCGATGATTCGACAAGTTGAAAGAATCGAGCGTCGGCAGTTCCGAATCGGACAGATGATCAGCGGCGATCGCTGACCGCCCCACATTACAGTTTTTCAAGACACTTCGATCCCCACCAGTCTGCACCCGATAGTCATGATTCGTTCCAAAATAAAAAGATACTAGAATTTTGCTTGTTTATCGAATTGCTAACGGATTCGAGAATCCGAAACGGGCGCAAAACCAGATAATCCTTCTCAAGCACATCCTACCTCAAATACAGGTGCCCCATAGGCAGGGACCAGTTACTGGTAATCTCCGCCCATCGGCCCGCTTCCACGCGCCAAGCCTGAACAGCAGTCCACGTGGCTTCAACCTCAAGAGCCACGTGTCGCCATGTGGCGCCTCGCGAGGGGTCGTCGCAAGTACCGCTCGATCTTCCCGTCGGCATCATCGTGTTCGTCCGTCCTATTTCCATCTCCCACCCACTCCCCTTCGCGCGGCGCGGGCGGACCCCTCTCCAGTGCAGATTACAGTCTAAAGTCCAATCAGGGAAGTTGCGTTAGCTCCCACAGAATACAGAGCGTTAATCAGATCTCCAAATATCAATTCTCCAATGATCAAATCTCCCCATATCAAATCTCCGGTGCGTCATCGCTCGCTAGTACCGCGGATCTGCGCGTCGCCAGCTGGAAGCACAGCTGCAACCGAGGTCTGCACGTGGTGGCAAGTGATTGGCGGGATGGCGGGAGCGTGGAGGTGGGACAGCCGATGCATGAGAGCCACCCGGAGGTGAGAGAGGAAGAGGGGGAGGGAGGGGGGCGGGGAGTAGAGGGGGCGAGGTGTCGAAAACTTCTGCGTCACCTGCTCTTGTCTCTTCACTCTTGCTTCCCTCTCCCTCTTATCTTCGCTTCCTTCTTGTTCCTGCTCCCCTGTTCCCTCCTTTGTACTCAGCCACTACCATTGAGAGATCCGGCTCCCACACGCTGGTTGCCCACAGTGGCGCAGTCACCTAGCTTAGGTAGCTTTAGAACGGTAACACTAGACCACTATATGAGACAAACAAACGAGAGAACGAACGACAGCATGAGTTCCTAGGCTGTTATAATTCCAAATCTGTGTCGGCCAGTTTCCTGCATGTAACATTGGGCTCAGGTCGCGGAACCTCAGGATTGGTCATCCTGATTGCCGTCGGCCTGATGTCTCTTGAACTTGTCCTCGCGCGCGCCTCGCTGGTCCCTGGGTTAACAACTTCGCGACACTACCCACGCACCCAATCCCACTTCTACAGTACATCTAATAACCCAACTACACCCTTACAAGCAAGGAACCGAATGTATTGCTTACACCAATGCATTCTGTGACAGAGGCGCCGGAAAGAGAGGCGGGAGAGAGGGGAGGGGGAAGCTTGGGGGAACGGGAGGGGAGGGGGAAAGGGATTATGGGGAAGTGGCGGGGAGCTCTTTTGAGTCGCCCCAAAGGTGGGGAGGAGGAAGCGGAGTGGACAGCTACTGACACACCCGGAGGTGAGAGAGGAAGAGGGGGGGGAGGGGGGAGAGGGGGGGGGGGGGGGGGGGAAGAGTGGGAGGAGGGGAGGGGATGGGAAAGGGAAGCGGGGAAAGGGAGGGGAAGGAGGGTAGGGGGAACTTGGAGCGGGGTGGACAGTAGACGCACGAGAGTCACCTGGGGGTGAGAGAGGCCCAGCAAGTGCCCAGCAAGTTCATGCAGGGTGGACAGTAGACGCGCGAGAGCCACCTGGGGGTGAGAGAGCAAGAGGAGGGAGGTGGGAAGATGGGAAGGTGGGTGGAGGGTGGGCGGGGAGGAGGGGGAGGGGTGAAACTGGCCGAGTAGAAGAGGCGGGGGAGTTTGGGGTGGGGGTGGCGGAGTGGGGGAATAAGGAACCTTTTTTCTAACCTTCGTTTCCCTTCTCTCTCCTGTCCCTCTCCCTCATCCCTTCTCCTTAATCCCGTCTTTCCCCCTCCCCTTCTCCCCCTCTCCCTCTCACTCCTTTCTCCTACAGCTGCTGGGGCCCAATGACATCCTGCCAGGTGTCTCGCGTCAGAGTTCGCAACCCGGCGCAGGGCAGTCATGTCCCGCCTGCCACGTGGCAGCGTGCTAGTGGTTGGCGCGGCTCCAGTGCGATACATGGCAGGCATAGTGCCGTTCCCCTACCGCCCGGATTCAGATTTGATTTACCTCACGGGGTGCTGGCACCCGGGTGTGGTGGCTGTGATAGAAAGCGATGGGGGGAGTGGGGGAGTGAGTGGTGGAGAGGAGGATAAAAGCGGAGGAGGAGGGGATGTGCGGTTCACATTGTTTTTGCCGCGGCAGCGAGCCGATGTGCGTTGGTGGGTGGGCTCTATGTGTGTGATGGCAATGTCAAGGCATGGCAGAAAAAACTCAAGCATGGTGTGGTGTGGAAGCATGGCATGGTTGCATGGCATGGCATAGTGGCATGGCATGGCATGGTTGCATGGCACGGCATGGCATAGTGGCACGGCATGGCATAGTGGCACGGCATGGCATAGTGGCACGGCATGGCATAGTGGCACGGCATGGCATAGTGGCACGGCATGGCATAGTGGCACGGCATGGCATAGTGGCACGGCATGGCCTGCGATCTTGTGTGTCGTTCTCTTCTCTCTCCCATCATGCTCGTGTCGTGTTCTCTCCCTCTCATCCTTGCAAGCGTTTCTCCCTCCTCTCCCCCCCCACAACCCAACCTTCTCTTCCACTCAGTCACGTGTCAAAAACACACTTGTTCTATCTACCCACACACTTACCCTCAAGCTACCCAGCTTCCCCCTTCCTCCGTCTCAAACCAATCTCCCTCAGATGATGGTGAGGGATGGCAAGCAGGGCACTTAAAGCCCATCAACTCAAGCCCCTCTGCACCCTGTTCCCCCCACTCTATCGGCCTCAGATGGTGGTGTGGGATGGAAGGGCTTTGGACCCTCCTGCTGCCACGGCCTTTTTTGAACCCGACAGGGCCCTGTTTGTGGATGCTCTTAATGAGGTACTTTTATAATTGTTGCAAGGCACTCATACCCGCTGTGCAATGAACCCTATTGTGCAGTGTAGCAATCTTCTGTCCCTCAACGTTAAATGGAAGCTGTCGTGTCATTCCGTATTCCTTTTGTTGGGCTCTACTCTTTTTCACCATTTTCGTTCACTCACCCTTTCCTTTCCCCACCTCGTTCCCCACCCCTCATTTCTCACACACTCTCAGTACCTGCTGCAGGCCCAACAACGCATCTCATCACACCGACTCTCCTCTTCCTCCTCACTTCCCTCCTCTTACTCCTCCGATCGCTCACCTCCCCCTCGTTTCTACTGTGACCATCGGGCCAATCGCGATCTGATTGCTACAGTGCCAGTTCTCGCTGCTGAGCTGGCAACCGGGCGGCTGTTGTCGTCCCGTAGCGCGCTGGACGAGCAGCGGTGGATCAAATCCGAGGCGGAACAGAGGCTCATGCGACGGGCGGCTGAGATCACAGCAGAGGTAATGGACGGACGGCCTGGATCGCATGGCTGGTTGCAAGCTGCTGGGATGCAGTGAGATGAATCAATCCAGGTTGGCTAGTAATTAGATACTGTAATATTCAAATTCTATCATGTCATAGCACTTTTGAGGTGCTTCCTGGATATATTAGGAGCAGCTGACTGGGGTATATTATGCTCATTCGTAGCCTCGCTCGAGTGTATCGTGTTTGTTTTTTGTGCGTGACTGAGTTGCCTGCAGGCCTTTCTGACAGCTATGAGGCAGTCATCTGCCGTGGCAGCAGCAGGAGGAAGAGGGGGAGCAGGAGCAGGAGGAGGAGGAGGAGGAGGAGGGTCTGGTTCTGCTGCCACCTCAAAGAAGGCCACATGGGAGGGTCGCTGCCACACAAGGGGCACATTTCTGCTCTGATTGAGTTTGAGTGCAAGCGACGAGGAGCACAGCGATTCGCGTGAGTGGTGGGGGTTTTAAGACGTTGGCACTCAATGAGGGTACTGAGTGGCTGTGCTTGTAGCAAGGGGAGCAAAAGGGAGGGGGAATCACGGGGAATCCAAGGCCTTTCATATCTTGCCATTCACAACTGCACCTCTTGATCACAAACGCATCCTGCATCTAGCTGTCTTGTGCACTAACTCTGGCCCTTCCTTCCCTCCATCTAGGCCACCCTCCCTCCCGCCCACCTCTATCACTCTCTTCCACTCCCTCCCGCCCACCTCTATCACTCTCTTCCACTCCCACCCACCCATTGCTCTCCCTCATCTAGCTACCCGCCAATGTTGGCAGGCGGCAGCAGCGGCTGCATCGTTCACTACCTCCAGCCCTCCCCCCACCTCCACCTGTCTGTTCCACTTCCACCTCCCCCCCCAACCACACCCCTTCCCCCTCCCCTCCAGCTACCCTCCAGTGGTGGCAGGCGGCAACAGCGGCTGCATCGTTCACTACCTGCGCAACGACAAGCCCGTGAGTCGATGACCAAGGGGCTACGCTTGCAGAGAGGCTGGCGGTCAATGGGCAAGGGGCGAGGGGCTGCGCTTGCAGTTTCTGGGTCGACTTAAAAGCAGGAGGTCTGTTTGAGCCCCTTTGCGCAAGCACAAGCCCATTGACCGCCAGCCCCTCTGCAAGCGCAGCACGGAATGCACGAGCACAAGCAACACTGGCTGCACGAGCAGCAAGGGCAGCAATGCCACCGCATTCAAGAGAAGCACTTGTAGCTGCTGCAGCCGGAGTACCACAAGGGACGCGTATTCACGGGAGGTACTACCCCAGTAGCCTAGTGAAGCGTCAAGCGGATGGTAACTGGTGGTGGTACAACCCCTGGCCTGGAGTGGTGGCGGACGGAAACCGTTTATACGCAAACGTAAGCATCTGCTCGGTCATGCACAAAAGTGGTGGTTTTGACAGGACTGATCGTCCCAAAGCTGTAATCTGGACCTCTATCACCAGGGTCATCTTCATGGACGAGCAAGCAGAGGCTCGGGCGCTGGAGATGATGCACGAAATTGTGGACGATTTTCTGGCCGATGCTGAGATCCAGGCCATCATACAATCAAGGCTCTCAGCGCGCGACTGGTGGGTGGATCTCACTGACAATCGGCCAGCGGATTTGCCGAGGTGGCATGACAGCTTGTCATGTGAGATCCACCCACCAGATTTGATCCACCTCGGCAAATCCGCCGGTCAATTGTCAGTAAGATCCACCCACCAGTCACGCGCTGAGGGCCTTGATTGTATGATGGCCTGGATCTCAGCATCGGCTAGAAAATCGTCCACAATTTCGTGCATCGTCTCCAGCGCCCGAACCTCTGCTTGCTCGTCTGTGAAGATGACCCTGGTGATAGAGGCCCAGGTTACAGCTTGGGGACGATCAGTCTTGTCAAAACCACCACTTTTGTGCATGACCGAGCAGATGCTTACGTTTGCGTATAAACGGTTTCCGTCCGCCACCACTCCAAGCCAGGGGTTGTACCACCACCAGTTACCATCCGCTTGACGCCTCACTAGGCTACTGGGGTAATACCTCCCGTGAATACGCGTCCCTTGTGGTACTCCGGCTGCAGCAGCTACAAGTGCTTCTCTTGAACGCGGTGGCATTGCTGCTCTTGCTGCTCGTGCAGCCAGTGTTGCTTGTGCTCGTGCATTCCGTGCTGCACTTGCAGAGGGGCTGGCGGTCAATGGGCTTGTGCTTGACCAAGGGGCTACGCTTGCAGAGAGGCTGGCGGTCAATGGGCAAGGGGTGAGGGGTTGCGCATCACTCACGGGCCTGTTGTTTCTGGGTCGACTCACGGGCCTGTTGTTGTTACTCACGGGCCTGTTGTTGCACATCGTTCACTACCTGCGCAACAACAGGCCCGTGAGTCGATGTGCAATAGGCTGTGCAAGCCGCGGGCCTGTTGTTGTGCATCGTTCACTACCTGCGCAACAACAGGCCCGTGAGTCGATGTGCAATAGGCTGTGCAAGCCGCAGTATGCGTTTACCAAGAGCCTGGTCTGGGAAGAGTGATTTCACTTCACAGAGCAGAACTCAGCCAAGGCGTCTCGATTGACTTTTGAGTCGACTCAAAAGTCGCCTGGTCTGGGAAGAGTGATTTCAGTTCACAGAGCGGAATTCAGCCAAGGCGTCTCGATTGTGAGCCGACAGCCAGTAGGCTCGCGTCAGTTTTGAAAACTCTTTGAAATTTCTTAAATGTGATGTAAGAATGGCCAACAAGAGGGTTACGCCTTCAGCAGGCCAGGAGTCCAGTCTGGGAGGAGTGATTCCATGGGGCTGCCTGAACTTCGTGCGTTTCAGTGCGTGTCGTGTTTCTCTATGTAAACTGAAGTACCTTTACAGTGCAACAGTGTAAACACACACACACACACACACACACACACACACACACACACACACACACGCACGCACGCACACACGCGCACGTGTGCAGGTTCAGTCCAGTAGTCCAAACACACTCTCCATTAGCTCTCCTCTCCCCACTCCCTCCGCTTCTCCGTCGTTCCCCCTCCTCACAGGTGCAACCAGGGGAGGCACTACTGGTGGATGCGGGATGTGAGTACTTCGGCTATGCCTCCGACATCACACGCGTGTGGCCGCCCTTCGGGAAATTCTCCTCCGCCCAGGCACGTGTTAAGACGGGAGTAGGTCGGTGGTCGTGTGCAGTGACTTGTGAAACATCACAAAATTCGGTCGTCCTTCATTGGTCTCTCAATGTACGCGCTGGGTTGTGGGTGCATAGTTGCTTGTGAGTCGACGCAATAAGTATCGAGCATTGGTCCCTCGTGGGTGCTATCTCATCAAATTGTCAGGATTGCGAATATGATGCCTCTGACGTTGCACGTGTGTGGCCGGCCTATGGTGGGTCTCTCCTCTGAGTTCCATTTTTGTGTGCTGACGTGGCAGAGAACTGTCCTTTGCTTGGGCTGACGTGGCAGAGACCTGCCCTTTGCTTGTACTGACGTGGCAGAGAACTGCCCTTTGCTTGTGCTGACGTGGCAGAGAACTCTCCTTTGCGTGTGCTGACGTGGCAGAGAACTCTCCTTTGCGTGTGCTGATGTGGCAAAGAACTCTCCTTTGCGTGTGCTGATGTGGCAGAGAATTCTCCTTTGCGTGTGCTGACGTGGCAGAGAACTCTCCTTTGCGTGTGCTGACGTGGCAGAGAGCGGTATACGAGGCAGTGCGGGAGGCAATGGTGGAGTGCATTGCCATGTGCCGGCCGGGGGCCACTCTGAGGGATGTGCACCAGCACTCGGTGGGTGCTTGGTTCATGGTGAATGAGTCAGGGGGTATTTGAGTCGGTGGGTATTGTGTTGGTGCGGAGGACTCAGGGAGGCTCTTGGCGATGGTGGGGTGCATCGTCGTGTGGCAGCCGGGCGCCAATCTCAGGGACGTGCTCCAACACTCGGTGGGTGGGAGGGATGACTCGTTGGGATGGTAGTGGGTGGGTGGGTGGGTGGGTGGGTGGGTGGGCGGGGGATGGCACATGCACGCACTTGGCCATGGGGGTGTGCATTGCCATGTGCAAGCAGGGCGCCACTCTGAGGGACGTGCTCCATCTCTCGGTGGGTGGGATGGCACTCGGTAGGTGGGATGGCACTCGGTGGGTGGGATGGCACTCGGTGGGTGGGATGGCACTCGGTGGGTGGGATGGCACTCGGTGGGTGGGATGGCACTCGGTGGGTGGGATGGCACTCGGTGGGTGGGATGGCACTCGGTGGGTGGGATGGCACTCGGTGGGTGGGATGGCACTCGGTGGGTGGGATGGCACTCGGTGGGTGGGATGGCACTCGGTGGGTGGGATGGCACTCGGTGGGTGGGATGGCACTCGGTGGGTGGGATGGCACTCGGTGGGTGGGATGGCACTCGGTGGGTGGGATGGCACTCGGTGGGTGGGATGGCACTCGGTGGGTGGGATGGCACTCGGTGGGTGGGATGGCACTCGGTGGGTGGGATGGCACTCGGTGGGTGGGATGGCACTCGGTGGGTGGGATGGCACTCGGTGGGTGGGATGGCACTCGGTGGGTGGGATGGCACTCGGTGGGTGGGATGGCACTCGGTGGGTGGGATGGCACTCGGTGGGTGGGATGGCACTCGGTGGGTGGGATGGCACTCGGTGGGTGGGATGGCACTCGGTGGGTGGGATGGCACTCGGTGGGTGGGATGGCACTCGGTGGGTGGGATGGCACTCGGTGGGTGGGATGGCACTCGGTGGGTGGGATGGCACTCGGTGGGTGGGATGGCACTCGGTGGGTGGGATGGCACTCGGTGGGTGGGATGGCACTCGGTGGGTGGGATGGCACTCGGTGGGTGGGATGGCACTCGGTGGGTGGGATGGCACTCGGTGGGTGGGATGGCACTCGGTGGGTGGGATGGCACTCGGTGGGTGGGATGGCACTCGGTGCAGCGGAGGAGTGTGGGATGGCAGGGCTAGGCGCTGCAGAACATGAACTATTCTCAACATCTCCCTTGCAACGCGACCCCCCTGCCCACCCCTCCAGGTCATATCCCTCTCGTCGGCCCTGGTGCAGCAGGTAGAGTGCCAGGGCTCAGCACAGCAGGTGGCGTGAAGTGGGTTCAAAATCGACTTATTGATTTATCCTCATTCAACTGCCCCTAAAACCATCAGGTCATATCTCTCTCATCAGCTCTGGTGCAGCTGGGAGTGTGTCAGGGCTCGGCACAGCAGATGGCACAAGGAGCCTTCCTATCTGACTCAAATCCCATGCCCACAACCCAACCCCCCTGCTACCGCCATCAGGTCATATCTCTCTCATCAGCTCTGGTGCAGCTGGGAGTGTGTCAGGGCTCGGAACAGCAGGTGGCGAGAGGAGCATTCCGGCAGTTCTACCCGACCTCTGTTGGTGAGGCTTCGGATTTAGGGTTTAATTCATGTGCTGCTGCGTCAAACTTGAGCTTCACTGATCGTTCCTTTCGTTTCTTTAGCAAGCTCAACTCTGACTCTTGTCATTCTTTTCAAGCCCATCCTGCTCATTTTAAGTAAGTTTCTGCACTCTAAAATTCTCTGCACTGATTTGCAGTTGCTACAGTAGTATTCTTAGGAAGCTTAACACTCAAATCTCCGCACCCAATGAACTGATAGGCAAACGATTTAGTGAAGCACAAGCATTCCAATGTGCATTGCTAATAGATTCGCAGTCTTGCTCCAATCGAGGCCCTGGCTGGTCTGCGGAAACGGTTATTGAAAATAAAGGAAATCCAAATACCTCTTTGAACAAAATATGATTGAACACTTTTAAGGCCATCACAACGTGCGTTTGGTTCACCTGCTGAGATGCAAGAACCATTTCCTAGATGGGCGTCTTTTGCATGTGTTGAGGGTGACATGACACAGTGCAATGGATAATGGCTTGGTATTGTGATGGATGGTGGGATGGATGGTGGCATGGATGGTGGGATGGATGGTGGCGGCTTGTTTGCAATGCCATGAACCAACACGGACATGGATGGTGGGATGGATGGTGCTGGTATGGTTTATGATGCTATGAATATCCTCGGATGGTGCCATGGCATGGCAGGGCACTGGCTAGGGCTGGACACACACGACTCTGCATCCGTCTCCTCCTTTCAGCCGCTCAAGCCCGGTGTGGTGAGCCCGCTTTCTTCCCCATTTCCCAGTATCAATGTAGAGGGTTAGTTTTTAGGCATGCATGCATGGATGGTGGTAGCATGACTGGTGGGGGCGTGGCAGGGCACTGGCTAGGGCTGGACATACACGTCTGTGCATCCGTCTCCTCCTTTCAGCCGCTCAAGCCTGGCGTGGTGAGTTTCGAGGTCATTTATAATTCAGGGTTTAGGCGTGCATCGATGGTTGGTGGTGCCATGTTCGGTGGGGGCGTGGCAGGGCACTGGCTAGGGTTAGACACACAGGACTGTGCATCTGTCTCCTCCTTTCAGCCCCGAAAACCTGGTGTGGTGAGCCCGCCTTCCCTCCTTGTCAGTTTCGAGGTTTAGGGTTTACGATTTTGGGTGTACAGTTGCATGCATGCATAGATGGTGGCATGTCTGGTGGGCAATGCAGGGCACTGGCTAGGGCCGGACACACACGACTGTGCATCCGTCTCCTCCTTTCAATTTCAGCCCCTCAAGCTTGGCGTGGTGAGCCCGCCTTCCCTCTTGTCAGTGTCAAGGTTAGGCTTTAAATTAAATGCATGGTGGTGGCATGACTCAAAGGGCGTGGCAGGGCACTGGCTAGCTACGTTGCTAAATACGAGTACCGAGTATAATACGTTAGCGTATTATACGCTTGGTATATACGCGGTACGCCAAGGCTGGCGTACTGCTGATACGCAAAAATACGCTGGCGGGCAGCTAAAACTTTTTTTCCCGGGCAGGTATAAAAAAACCTGTTTCAGGGGGGGGGTTCAGGCCGACAACAACACATGTCAATATTTTATTTCATAAATATCCAGAAATACATAGTTCATCCACATAATCCCCACCCTCTAGCGAGCTTCCCCACAGCCTATTTCGTTGCGGGGCTTTTCCACCACCACCCCTTCCCCATACTCATCCGCCAGCACTGCATCATCTCCTTCCCCCCCCAGCAGGTCATCCTCCTCCTCCTCGTCCATGTTGTAGCCGCGGGGGATAGGGGCATCCGGATGTTCCCGGGCACAACGGTGCTGGCCCCATCCTTGTTGTACCGATTGCGCACAACGTTCCAGTTGTGCGCAATGTAAACCAGGTCCGCACACTTGGCGGACCCGAGGCGGTTGCGGCGGGTGGTGTGGACGCCTTTCCACTGCGCCCAGCCACGTTCGCATGAAGAAGCCGAGACGGGCTGAGTGAGAATCCGGCATGCGAGGGTGGCAAGCTCAGGTTACTCGGTGCTGTGCCACGACCACCACTGCACCATGCTCATCTCCCCTTTCTTCACTGCCTCCCTTGCAGCTATGGCGCTCGGCTTGCCAAAACTGCCCTCCAAGTTGATGTAGGCGAGCAATGCCTCCTGCAGCACAAGGGAGGCGCGGCGAGGGGCACCATCCTTGCCGCGCCTGAAGGTGACGTGGTCATAGTGGCGCTCGATGTAGTCCTTGAACACCCTCGTGCACTCCACATCGTTCCTGAAAATTCCCTCCTCCTGGTTGGCCGGATTCAGGATCCGGCCAACCACATGCATGGGGCAGGCAAGGGAGTTGTCCCACCTGCCCTTCACAATCTTGGTGATGTCTGCCCTCTCTGTCCGAGTCAAGAAGTCGCCTGAAGCGTCGAGCTTGTCATTGATGTCCTCGGTAAGCTGTAGCATAATGTCATACAGCTTACCCATCATGCCTTTCGCGGAAGAGTCCGTGGCCCGCATGGCCTTGAATGGCACCGCCATGAGAGAGGAAAAGAACTCCGCCACCCCCCACCACTTCTCATCCATCATAGCAGCCCTGAATTTCTCGGCTGTAGTCTTCCTATCCTTGTCCCCCGCTGCCCACACCTTCCACTCGTCGCTGAGCACCATCGCCGCCAGCCCACTCCTCACCTCACATAGCCGGGCCATGGCTATGTATTGTGTCCCGAACCTGGTTCCCGCAGGCTTGAGCACCTGCTTCCCCCCCACTTTCTTCATATAGGCACGGGTGAAGTGGTGGTTGCGCACGAAAGTAATCATCTCCCCTCCTTTCTCCACAAGCCCCTTCGCCCATCCCATTTTGCCCACATCTTCCATTAGCAGGTCCAGGACATGCGTGGCACATGGCACATGCTCAATGTGCGGCCATGTGCCCGCAATCCTCCGCGCTGCCGATGCATAGTTGCTGCCGCCATCGGTGCAGACCGCCACCACATTCTCCGGCCCCACCTTATCAATGACGGGGCGGAGAAGGCTGGCGATGTACCCCCTCGTCTTCGACTCCATGTTGCAGTCCACGGCCTGCTCGAAAACTGCGCCGGAGTCGTTGACAAGGAGTATGTTGGCCTGCGGGCGGCCACAACGGTCGGTCATCATGTCCGACGACACGGTGACACCGTCCCGCTTCCAGCTCGCGGCAACGGGGGCGAGCGCTGCCTCCATTTTCTGCCGCACTTTCTTCAAGCCCGCCCCTCCAACGTAGCCCCTCTTGGGGGGAACATACCCCGGTCCCGCGCGCGCAAAGCACTGGACCGCGTAGCGGAAGACCGGATCATCCACGATGCGCTCTGGAAGCTTCAGCGCCGAGATCATTAGGCAAAGCGCGTTATCCGCGTCCTCCTTGGCGCACGTTGCCTCGTCGCCGAAGAATTCTGTTATCTTCCCCTTCTTCTCCGCACAAGCAGTGACCGCGCCCAGCACGGAGTCGAGTGCTGCAGCGGCCGCCCCTCGTTTCATGCTCTTGTTTTCCTCCTTGTTTTCGTACATGGCACGCACTTCTTCACGGACGGACGGGGACACGTCCTTGCAAAGCCTGACAGGGCGTCCATCTTGCCCTTTCCATTTGGCGAGGTGAACTGCGCAGCGAGTGGTTCCGCCCTCAAACTTGAAGCCACAAAACTTACAAAGCTTGGGATTGCCTTTGGTGTGGGGGGGAATAAGAAAATGTTTCAGAATGGGGTTCGAAAGGCCAGCCTCAACAGGCTGCGTGTTGATCGCACTACTAGACGCGTGAACAGAAGCTACATTGCTCGTCGCGCTAGGAGGGGTGGAGTTCGACGCCATGGGGCGCGACTAAGGAACGGTAAACTGCTTGAGGAAAACGGGAGATCAGAGCTCGGGAATGAAATTGAGGAGAGAAACGAATGAAGGATAGGAAGGCGTCAACGAGTAAATGCTCACATGACGTGCTGGACATTTGAGAGGGGTGGTTGGATATGAGAGGTTTGGTGGGGTGGTGCGTGGTTGGGGTGGTGGGAGGTTTGGATTCTGAAATTTGAATTTCAGACGTGGGTTGGGCGATGTGCTTGGTCGCGTAACCAGTCGCGAAGCCCTAAGAACCGTCGCAATTTTTTTTCAATTTCGATTTTTTTTTTTCGCCGGGCTGCCCGCGCGTTTTTTCACGAATTCGAAGCGTATTAGCGTACCACGTACGTACGCAATCGTATATACGTAGTACGCCACCCTACCCAGAGCGTATTTGGCAACGTAGCTGGCTAGGGCTGGGCACACATGACTGTGCATCGGTTTCCTCCAAGCCACCCCTCGAACCCTGCGTGGTGAGCCCACCTTCCCTCCGTAGTCTGTCTCGAGGTTTCATGTGCAAGGGTTCCTGGTTCTGGGTTTAGGTTTCAGGGTTAGGGTCAACGCAAAGACAATCTCTTCAGCCTTGTGTGGTTAGACAACTCTCGTTATCTCTCATCTTGTTTTGTTTGTTTGTTTGTTTGTTGATTTACTTACTATATTGTTAACGACTGCCTGGAGCCCCACCGCTGACATTTTATTAAGAATAGATCTAAAACGCATCAGCTGTGTGAGTTGTATGGAATGATGGAAAACACTCTAAAGTGCGTTCAGACCCACTGCGCCCTCCTTTTGCCCACCATTAACATCTGTCTGCTACTTTGCCATCCATGCTACTATTGAGACGTCTCAAAATTAACATCTGTCTGCTACTTTGCCTTTGATGCTCCCCCAATTCCAAGGTACTAACAATCGAGCCAGGCCTCTATCTCCCGGACGTTGACCAAGTGCCAAAGCAGTGAGACGCCTATCCCATACTCATGCATACTCTCATGCCGATTTTTTTAGTCAACTTAAAATCGATCTGACTACAAAAAAAAGGCAGTAATAGATCGAAGGTGTGAGACGCCCATTCCGTGCTCATACTCCTATGTCGGCTGTTTCTTCCCACCACTGTGACTCCAAACCCAACCATGACTCTTGCAACTCATGCTCCCGTTGATCTAGTTCTGAGGCGCCTCAAAACGTTGATCAATTGTACTCACTCCACCGTCTGCCCCTCCCCTTCTCTCTTTCAACCTCCAGGATATTTGAATCGTCTCAAATCTAATCTGCTACTCACTGTCTCCGCCATTCCCGCCCTCTCCCCTGTCCCTCCACCTCCTTTTCTCCCCCAGTCTACGTGGCATAGGTGTGCGCATAGAGGATGACATTTTGATCACGGCCGACGGTTACGAGGTAACTGTTGGCGTTGCACACGTATCTAATCAAATGCCCATCTGCGCATCTTCTATGAATTTATTTATCTGTTCGTTTACTATTTTATCGCATGATTCGTTTGTTGGCAATATTAGGACAGACATGCACATATTCTCCATCAGGTCTCCAGGTACACGAGATGATAATGGTAGCATGGCATGATATACCCCACGCGAACATGAGAGTCGACAACATGCCATGTTCCACGTTCATTTCGTCAGCATCATTTCCCCTGTGCATTCTCCAAACTACGTGCCGGCCTATCACATCCAGTCCTATTTTTTCAGCCATTCCTTCATACAGTGCCACCATTCCATTCCCTCAATTCCTTGCAGAATCTAACAGCAGCAGTTCCAGCAGATGTGGATGCCCTAGAGGCGTTGATGGCAGAAGCTAAGGAGCAGAGATTGGCGGCATGATGGAGGGGAAACGATTAGACTAACCCAAAACGTCAGGCCTAATTTTCAAACGACGATATTCATACGGAAAAAGACAAGGTTAATGAATGGGAGGGATGTGCCTGACAATCACAGGGTGTGAGTAAAGACGACTACCGAATGTTTTTTCAATTGGGAGAAGTATCGGACATATTGAGATTCACCTCGCTACACTAGTTTTGAGTGTTCGTATCTTTAGGGCGCGTGTCCTTTGGTGTAGAAGTTCGGAAAAAAGGTTGAACTTTTGCTGGTAGCCCGTTTCGTTTATCTCGCCAACATGTTCGCGAGGCAAACGTGTGTCCTCGGTCAAACTGAGTGGACGAAGTAGGACACTGAACTAAAGCCGATCTGCGTTCAGATTTTTGCGTTTTCATTCATCCAGTCGTGTGTCCTTCTGCGCACGTACAAAAATCCGCGAGGTTCACGACAGTAGCGAGGTACATCGTACCTGGTTACTGAAGCCAGATACGTTAATGAACTGCACCGCCCTACCGGGTTATCAGAATGAAGAATGGATGATGCATTGATGTTGGTTGGGGTACATATAGCTAACCCTAAGTTTTGTACCCCCTAAGACAAACCTCACTATAGGCTACAACATTTGACACACCCCCATAGCCTAAGTGAGGGGTGTCTAGCAGAACCAAACGAGTACGGTCACAAGACCAGTCCAAGAAACGAAGCTCAGGGTGGATCACAACGTCACCGCACAGTTTGAGCACAAACAATAGTGGCCACAAGGCCAGTCCAAGAAGTAACAGAGATATATAGAAAGCAAAGTAAACAGTACACTCAAGTCTAAGCAACACGAGAACCAGTGTCAACAAGGCCTAACTGCACACAGCACCTCTGGTGGTCACAAGGCGGAAGCGCCTTGGTGAAGATGTCTGCAGTGTTGGCCTCGGACTCCACAAACTCAAAGCGAGCCTGTCCACGCCTCTGCAACTCTCGCAGAAGAAAGTACCTGACGTGAATGTGCTTCACTCTGCTCTCCAGTCGTGGCTCTCGACAAAGGAGAATAGACGCCTTGTTGTCAGTGAACAAGGTCGGTGCAGAGCTCGGCCGCTCACCAAGGTCGGTGAGCAAGAACGTCAACCAACGCAGCTCCTGTGCCGCCATGGCACCAGCGTAGATCTCAGCCTCAGCTGTAGAGGTCGAGACCGAAGAGGAGCGCGTGGACCGCCAGGAAACAGCTCCAGAACCCAGGCTGAAACAGTACCCCTGAGTAGACCTGTGAGTCTCAGCGTCGTCAGCGTAAGAGGAGTCACAGTGACCAGTAAGTACGACAGACTGCTGCCCTCCAAGAACTAGCCCCATGCCTGATATCGTCGCTAGCTACTTCGCCACCCTCACAGCTGCTGTCCAGTGAACAGGACGGTGTCTCCCTGGCGCAACAAAGCGCGCAAGAACGCTAAGAGGGAAGGCGAGGTCCGGGCGAGTACAAGTCATCAGGTACATGAGGCAACCCACAAGCTCTGCGTAGGGACCACTAGGCTCGAACGGCTCGTCAGGAAAGGGTCCAGTGAGTCTGTGGTCAACAGCAAGAGGTGTGCGCTGTACTGTGGAGTGCTGAAGCCCGAACCGCTGAAGGACCTGCTGCACCATGTGTGACTGTGAAAGTGTAATGGTGCGAGCAGCTCTGTCCCTGGTGATCTGCAGGCCAAGGTAGTGGCGCAGCTCACCAAGGTCAGTGCACGTGTGTCTCTTCTGCAGTTTGGACTTCACGTCTGCCAAAGCAACCCTGTCAGGGGTGGCGAAAACAAGGTCGTCAACGTAGACCAGAACAAAGAAAGGTGTGGGGCCACGACGAACGAACAGCGACGGGTCAGCAGAAGACGGCTGGAACCCAAGGTCAGACAGGGTAGAACGCAGGGTGTCGTGCCACTCACGAGGAGCCTGACGAAGACCGTAAACCGGTCGCCTCAGCCTCCACTGGGTCCCAGGAGGGAAAGAGCCAGTGAAGGCAGAGGGACGACGCAGCCAGACCTCCTCGTGAAGACTGCCCTGAAGGAAAGCAGTAGAGAAGTCGAGAGAGTGTAACTCGTAGTCTCTCTGTGCTGCTACGTGTAGTAACACCCGAAGAGTGGTCATCTTCGGGGTGGGCGCGAAGGTCTGAAAGAAGTCAACTCCCTCGCGCTGACTGAAACCTCTAGCCACGTAGCGCGCCTTGAAGACCGGGGGAGATCCCGGTGGCCGCTTCACCCTGTAGATCCACATGCCGTCGACTACGTTCGCCCCAAGGGGGGGAACCTCATCGACGTAGGTGCCTGTGGATCTGTAGGAGGCCATCTCTGCGTCCATGGCGGCTCTCCACTGAGAGGCCCAAGGCCCTGACACTGCCTCAGCGTAAGTGCGAGGAGTCGGAATGTCAAGGGCGTCGGGGTCACCCTCAGGGGCGAGGAGCATGGCACAGAGATGAGGGGAAGCGGCGGCCAGGAACTCTAGCTCGAACTGCCTGTCCTCTAGGGCGTCACAGCCAAGGGTAGACACACCCTTGACGGCCAGAGGACTGGAAGGAGGAGCAGCCACAAGAGCGGTGGCGAAGTCAAGGCGGCGGGTAGAGGCAAACTCAGTGACTGCGGCAGTAAGAGCGGACACAGAGGACACAGAGGCACGAGGGTGGGTAACAAGAGAGGCGAGAACACGAGAGAGAACAGGACGGTACGTGCGGTAGTAGTCAGTGATAGGAGTAGGAAGCGACGCAGTGAGGGCCGACTCAGGAGGAGACGGAAGCACAGACGGAGACGGACGAGGTGGACGAGAACAAAGGAAGGCTGTACGAAGGTCAGTGAAGGGAACAGGAGACGAGGGACGAGCACGAGGGGATCGACGGGAGGCCCAAGTCTGAGAAGGAGGAGGAGACAACGAAGACTGAGAACGAGGGAAAACAGCGGGAGAGGGGTCAGGAGGAGGAAGCGGAGGACCAGAGATGGGAGGAGAGGGGGAGGAGGAAGGAGAGGGAGAGGGGAGACCAAGGGTCCGAAGACCTGAGACAGGAGGAGGAGACGGCAGCTGCTGCTGCTGCTGCGGCTGCTGGGGCTGCTGCGGCTGCTGCTGCTCCAGCGGCTGCTGCCCCTGCTGCTGCTCCTGCTGCTGTCGCTCCTGCTCCTCGAGCCGCTGCAACTCTCGCTCCTCTCTCTCCAACTCCAGCTGCTCCTCACGAGCACGGCGAACACGAGCCTGGAACCTGGTCGGGTAGGGGTGGGGGGAAGGAGTAGTGTCCGGGGCAGCGGCAGCCCCAGAGTCGACCTCCGAAGCACCAAGCACACCACCCCCAGAGGCAGCACCAACACCAGCTCCAGACCCAGGCTCTCCAGAAACCGAAGGGACACCCTCACCCCCAGACGCAGCACCCCCAGACTCCGCACCAGCACCCCCAGACTCCGCACGACCAGTACCAGCCCCCGGAAGATAAGAATCCTCTGCAACCCGCGGCTCAGCTCCAACTCCAGCACCCCCAGAACTAGAGACCTGTACAGGGACAGTCTCAGGACCAACCCCCCGAGAGGGAGCACCTGCAGGAGGCGGCGAGGAAGACTGTGGGGAGGGAGGGTGGTAAAAGGTGAAGTCAGAGGAGTCCTTAGGGAAACCAAGGAAGACACAAGGAACGGCGCGAGGCGAGAGCTTGTCCGCGGAGGTGTCGCGGACAAGAGCCAAGCACCCCCAGACACGAAACCTCGACGCGACACCAGGGGACCCTGTCCAAAGACTGGTCGGTGAAGCCTCCGGCCGAGAGACGCGTGGCCAGAGGTTCAGCTGGTGCGCGGCGTACCTGACCGCGTATGGCCACAGGAAATGGGGGGCACGGGCGTGAGTCAAGGAGGTGCGGGCAATCTCCATGACCAGGCCTATGCGACGCTCAGCAACCCCATTCTGCTGTGGGGACTCCGGAAGCGTCCAGGACTGACGAATGCCCTGTTCGCGACAGAATCCAGCGAGAATGCCGGAGCGAAACTCGCCCCCGCGGTCGGAGTGGAGACAGCTGACACGACGACCACGAGTGTCCTGGGTGGTAAGCAACCACCTGATCAGCGTAGAAGTCACCTCAGACTTCCTCGCCAGGGGGAACACTGTGGTGTAGCGGGAGTAGTCATCAACGACCACCAAAAAGAAACGCTCACGCTCAGGGCCAGGGCGAGGAGAGGGGCCCCAGCCATCCAAGTGTAGCATCTCAAAAGGCTTGGTGGCCGGACGAAGGGAGGAGGAGTGAGGGGTGGCGCGCAGCCTACCCTCGACGCAAGGACCGCACGGTGGTGCAAGGGACGGCGGCAGCGACGGCAAGACACGCGGGAGACCTAAGACAAGACGCTGACGAGACATAGCGCGAAGACGAGGAGGAGAAGGGTGCCCCAGCCGGTGGTGCCACAAAACGGTGGGGTGGGCAAGCGACCGACAGGAGCACGACGCAGCGACCGGACTAGACGGAGGAACCTGACAAGTCACTGCTACCTGGGGGGACGGAGCAACCTGGTGAGACGCGAGGACTCGAACGGGGGGCAAAACAGGGGCCGGGGGCAGGAGGGGCGGCTGTGGCTGCGGCTGCTGCTGCTGCTGCTGCTGCGGCTGCTACTGCTGCAGTCGCTGCTGAGCGCACGGGCCAGTGTGAAGAGTGTAGAGACCGGAGCCCGGCTCAGCAGCAAAAGTGGCGAGGGGCTGGTAAGAGTCCCCGTCAACACACACCGCAGTCTCTCCAGAAGGCTCAAACCACACACCCACGTGCTGACTCACGAGGGGTCGCACGCCCACCAAGTTCCGGGAGAACGAGGGGACGTGAAACCCAGTGAGAGACCCAGAAGGAGCAGCCGGACACGGCAAGGTGGTAGTGTGACGCGCGGTGACTGGTCCCGAAGTGGGATCAGCCAGCGCCACAGAAACAGGCGCAGGAAGAGGCGTAAGTGTCGTGCTGTCACGAAAGAAGCAGTGAGAGGCTCCAGAGTCCAGCGTGAACGACAGCGAACCGTCCTCTGAGGTAGCCGCTGGAC